AGAGGTGCGGTATCCGTGCGACGTGCTTACCTGCTTGGGTCTTGTTTGGAAAAGTAGATCTGGGAGTGGCGTGGTACCGAGGCAGTATTTGGAGTGTACTTCAGTCTGGTAGGTGGGAGCGTTTTGTTTATCGGGACAACCCTGCTGCAGATTCAGACATCACGTCCCACGGTCATTTTTCTTCCCCAAGGAGAGGGGTCACTGACATCGACATCTGTAGCCACGATATAAATACTCTGTGAAACAAAGCGGCTTCGCTGCTCTCCCTCCCCTTGCAAACGCGGTTCCGATCTGGTTACAGCGGCGGTGGCTTGGGTCTGACCGCCCGCGGTGCTGTACTGGGCATGGAGTTGGGCAGAGGTGGTAAAGCTGGGTCCCCGCGATACCCTTTTGAAGAACTAAGCTTTGCATTTGAGCACTTTGAAATTGGGCTGAGGAATATTCTGGGCCGGGCTGAACTAGAGGCACAGAGAAAGAGGGGCTGGTCTCAGACCTGGTGAGGTTGGGGAAGTATCAGGTTAAATCTCTCCACGTTTGATCCTAAGACCAGTTGCTAAGAGTTGCGGGACGGTGAGGATGGCTGCGGGATGTCTCATCCTCTTGAAGGCTGTGAAGGCATGCTCCAACAAGGCCTTTTCCCAGTCCCAGGCATTCAGGGGTGCAAGACGTGCCCATCACCATCAGCTCTGCAAAGGGTTTAAGAGCGATTGTGCACTTGAAGGTTTATCTGCCGCTGTGGGGATGATGGTAGCTGCAGCTGCATCTCCCCCTCGTGGAAAAGATAGCAAAAATGGGATTTGTGGGAAATCTGCAGCCACCAGCTGGAGGTGTCTGTCCATGGGATGGCACCCAGAAATTCTCAGGTGAGAGATGCTCCCCCCTGACCAGCTGCTTAAAGGATGCTGAAAAGTTATTTCCACCTCCTCAGATAAAGTCATCATCCGTTATGGTGGCTCTGCAGTGTGAGACCTGGACAGGGCTTGGGACATTTGCCATTTGAGTGACAGACTGAAAAAACCTCTAACTTTAGGGTGGGTTTTTTTCCAGGTGATAAGACTTTCTAGTACATCTGCCTACCACTGACCTTAGCAAAATGAGAGCAGTTTTCCTTGTATATGCCAGAGCATGGGAAATAAAAGCTGTGATCCATAGGAAGTCAGTAATCAGATAGACGGCTTAGCACCCGAGAAGCACTTAAGAGCCACGCGTGATTATTGGATTATTTTAAGGCTGTTAGAACTGCCTTACTATGCTGCTGTGCCACAGGAAAACCTGCATATGTGTGTGTGTATGTGATATGCACATACCCCGTCAGCCTGTACGCATTTATACATATATACGTGTATGTGTACATAATCTCAGAAACCAAAACAGAAGCAGCTTTCCTCCCAGCAGGTAGTATTTTCGTATGGTTTAAAGCAAGAGAAATCTCCAGTTACAGTTGTGTGCTCTGGAAGGAGCCACGTGAGCAGCCTCATTCATCTGTGGATGGCTGTGAGAAAGCAAACAGGTTGTCGCAGCAAATGTTCGTAGCCGAGTCCTAAAATGGCTTCTGCAGCATGAGGGTTTTGTGTCCAAATGTTTTTTCTGCTCTTGTTGAAGTGCCAGTTCTGAAGAAATGTTGAAAATCTGGAACAAATCCAGTGCTTGTCCTCAAGGATGTTTGAAAATTCATGCAACTCCTGAAATTCACACAGGACAGACAAAGGAAGGATGCTTGTGATTCATTGTTATTTTGGAAACAGTCTTTGAGTTATAATTTCCATCATGTTTTCACTCTTCCCTTTCCTTTCCAGGGAGCGAAGCTGATTTTAGCTCTTCAAGCAGCACAGGCAGTATTTCAGCGCCTGAAGTCCATATGTCTGCTGCTGGAAGCAAAAGATCTTCTTTTTCTCGCAAGTAAGCAAAGCGATTTTTCCTGAATATTGCAAGTGTTGCTAGTACAAAGATAGACTACTGTGTCAGGTATTGCAGTTAATACATACAATACCAGTAGTATGAGTTTTAAAACAATTTGGGTAAGGCTATGCTCTCAGGCAGCACTTACACTGATGAGAACGGTGATATCAGAAAGAAAAAAAAAACGCTGTATTTGGAACGCAAAAAAAATTGTCAATGACAGCTCAGTCCACTGGTATTTTTTTGTTGTTTATTCATAACAAGTACAGGAGATACAATCAGGTACGGCAGAAAAGGCGTCGGCTGGAGAGGAGGAAGAAACAACTGGATCTATGTTAGTTAACAGCCGCACTTCTAACCAGTTAACCTTAACCTTTTGGTCTTACCGCTTTGTTTTCTCTCTGTGATAAATTGTCAGCTCGGCACATACCTTTCCAGATCATGACCTTTTTTTTTGCAGGAAGAAATACACAATATTGCCTTTGACACTGTTTTCTTTATCACCCTTGCCCAACCTTTATATCACTAAACCGATACGTAAATTTTAAAAAATTATCATAGTCATCTATCTGAATGAACCTTTCAGGAAAGATTTCTGTAAGATTTGTCCCTATCGTGTGTGAAGTGCAAATCCGGGCAGCTTGCAAATACGGGGGCGTTGGGATGGAGCGGCGCACGTTGTGCTCTGCCCACGCAATCCCTGCTGGTTACATCTTTCGGAGTGGGAGGAAAGAGTTGACATTGACGGGGCTGGTTTCCTGCCCTTTGTGGAAGAGCTGGCAGGCAGGCTGGGACCGGCAGCGGGGTACCCGTATGCTTAAGTCACACAGACGCCTCCAAGGTCGCAGCGTGCACTGGTGTACAGAGATTGGCAGAATGATGCTTAATGAGCATCTGTGTCTTGAGACTGTTAGAAGAATAAAAATTATTTAAGCACTCTCTAGATTAAGTCTAACAGGTAAAGGTACTGGCTGTGGGGAAAAAACAGTGCTAAGTATAATATGAAGCCCTAAAATCACCTTTCTTTATGGATCTTTTCACATACTATTGTGTATTTAAATATAACTTTAAATTAGAGCATACTGACCTACTTAATTGGACAGAAGTCCTCTATAATAGTGCTCCTTCAGATGCACTGCTGTGTTATGCACGGTCTATGCAAGTTCTGCCTCACGCCAGAGTCGATGCTGTACCGTACGAAGTGGAAGGAGATGTCTCCTTTGCGATATGTTCTTTTTTAAAATGTGTGACTTAACTCACTATGAAACGTTTCAGTGTTGTCACAAACCACAGTCCTGCACGTCACTGTAAAATAATTATACAATCACCCAAGCCGCAGCAGTGTGATGAAGGTTTGCAGCAGCCACTCAACCATCTGTTCCTTATAAAGTGTTCCATTTTCAGAGAAGGGAGGAAACCAAGTCAGACAGTCTTAAGAAGAGATTTTGCTTCCTAATTCTGTGGTATTTAAGTTTTTATGTTCAAGTCTTCTCTTCGGCTGGCTGGATCTGCCTTTTTCCGTATTTTTTTGAAACCAGCCCTTTCATTACAGTGTAGAAGAGCAACTTCCACGGGAGGATGAAGGTCGCAGCACAGTAGTGCAGGAAGGCAAGCGAAGCGAGAAGAAGCTGTCCTCAGAGCACCCCGGCCCGGTGGCAGCTGTCGGGCAGTGCAGATACCAGTTGCTTAAAAGCACACACAGTTGACAGTCGGATTTTTTAATAAAATTATATTTAATAAAAGAAAGGTAGATATGTATGAGGGAAACTGGAAGGAAGCAAGCAAAGGCTGTGCTTTTCTTCGTCTATTTTAATACCGTTTCAGCCCGCTCACAGCGGGGCTCGAAGCCTGTCTGAGCGGGTGAGCGGCTGGGAGGCGCCGCGG